TAAGAAAATAATGGATTTATATACTTAATACACAATATACTAGACAATATGGTAAAAGCCATATTAGTGGATTTTGTTGATTATAGGATGTGGATAAATTACTATTTCAAAAAGAGATAGTTTAAAAAGGCTTTTATTAGAATTTATATAACTTTATTTTCTTTTGATAGTGACTTTGAAGTTGATCTTATTAATAGTAACCTTTAAATATTTAGAGTCACCTTTGTTAGATATTGGTGATCCTTAAAGTCTTATTTTGTTTCTTTTATATGGTGTTTAGGACATATATTATATAAATCTTATAAAGAAAAGAATTGGAGAGGGATTTTGATAGCAAAAATAGTAGTTAGGGCATCCATATGAATGAATGGAAATAGATGATATAAATCTCCATTCCTATTGGTCAAAAATCATGACCAATGGCCTTCAATGAGGCTGCTCGAGGCCATATTAGGAATTAGGATTACACTTTCGAGCCATTTGAGCTTTGAAGGCTAGAATTAACAATTTTAGGTTTTTTTCTATGGTTTTGGTGCAAATTTTGTGTAATTTGGAATTTATATGAAAGAGATATGGGCGTTCAAAGTTAAGATATTGATTTTAAATCTACTATCACTCTTTTGGATATAATGCAAGCGTATGGAAAGCAACAGAGGATTGGCAATTGAAATTAGAAAGAACACTCTCTTAGCTATACTTTTGGTATATTATTTGATGGATTTTAAGTTTGGATGAAGGAGATATTGGAGATTGAAGTCAGTACTTACAAATCTAAGGGTAGTAAAAGACTTGAATTACTAGTGGTTGTGTTTTGAGCTATATCTTGTGCAATTTGACAATATTTTAGCTAAAACTTTCCAAGAATGTGTATTTTTATGTAATCAAAATTTTTACATAAGATTTGTGGAATTTACATTTTGGATTTTTGAGATATAAGGAAAATAGTTTTTGGATGCTTGTAGATTAGGGTTTAGAGCAACTGCTAGAATTTCTAAGATGCTAGAAGTTCTATTACAGATTTATATTTCATTTTTTTTGTAGAGAAGCTTAAAGACAAAATCTATGTTATATAGAAATTTTAGAAAAATAAAACAATTGGATCAAGAGATATAAATTTTTAAAGTTTAAGATAAAAATATCTTTTACATGAAGAAAATGTTTTGAAGGGTTTTATTATATTTTGAACTTTTGTAAAAATAAAGGAATTTTTGGAAGCTAAGACATCATATAGAAGCCAAAGCTAAATTCTCTACAACTAGATACCTTGTGTATTCTTAGATTGCAAATCACGCCACACAATAGCACATTATTAAACCCATCAGGAGTTTCATTTGCAATCTGTTTTAAATACAAAATCTTGGTAACTTCACTTTCAACCAAAGATGTTTTAGGATTAGGATTCATTGTAAATATTTTTGGTAATCCAAATGCAAGTATTGTATTTCTTTGTTGATTAAATACTCCTCTTTAAAGTAATAGAATACATTCTCTTCAAAACGGCAATTTTGAAAATATGCACATAATAATATACCAATTGATGGGTCAACTATACAAATAATGCTTGGTGAATCAAAACCAACATATATGCCTTCTTTTCAATGAGCTCCAATCATATGCCATTGATGTTCTAATATTTAAAATCAAGTATGGCAACAAAATATCTATAGATGAGATACATTTAGAATACGACCTGAAATGAACTCTTGTGGTGTAATAATTTCAAGAGAAGAAGGATGGAGGTATATTAATGCTGCAACATGCAAAATTGCATGATTCTACATAAATGCAGGTAAATTTGCATGAAGGAAGAGTGGCTGAGTAATATGTCATAGATGATGCAAAATTAAATATAATAGGAGGTCGGATTGTAATGCGATAAAAACCATTTGTCGATGCAAAGGCTTTTTTTGTAATTTTGTGATTCTGTTCAAGAATCAAAACCTCTTACCTATCTAGAATTACAGTTGAGAGGTAATAAGCATTGGTACGCACATCTCTGTAGCTGATTAGATTCTATGGTATTGAGGGTGCAAACATTGCATGTTTATATTTTATGATAGAATCCACAAGCAATTTTACCATCAGTATTCCTTCTTGGAAATGAAATGCATTCGTTCTTGCCATAGTCAACAAATTTGTGGTTTACCAAGTTGAAGATTTTTCAATAAAAAACCACCTATCCCACAAAATAGTATGTGTTGTTGCAAAATCAATGAGCATATCATTTGATTCATCATTAGAGGTTTTTTTATTCATATAAGTTTCTAAAACATCAACACCAATTGAATCCATGGAAGTACCTTTGATTCAAAATACTTTGTTAAAATGTTTGAATTTCTTATTTTCTTCAAATATTTCAACAAAGTATTTTGAAATACAGCATGTATATGCCAAATGTCCAATCATTCCACATTTATTTTTTAACATTTTTGATTTTTTTTTTTTTTTTTTTAAAACAAAAATAAGGCCTATGGTGGACTGTAGCAGGGTGTAATAGGATGCATCAATCGGCAGTAGTCAATGGCAATCTAGCAGTTCAACGGCAATCGATGGTAGTTGGCAGTAATTTGGCAATTTGGCAGGGTGCGGTAATATAGTAGCACTCTAACAGCAACAAAGGACAACAACAGCACCAGCACCAGCACCAGCACAACACTAATAATAACACAAGAAAGCAATAGCAACAATAGCAGCAGCAACACAGAACAGCAACTATAAGAAAATAAATAAATAAATAAATAAATAAAATGAGGAGAAAATGAAGGATAAAGTACATAGAAGTTTTTAAGAACCAAGACTAGAGCATAAGAGCAATTGTGTTGATAACGTGTTGAGAATGTTTTAGAGAAAGAGAGACAAGAGTAGCTAGAAGTAATATGTACACATATGTAAATACACACACATAAGAAGTGAGTTTATTGATAGGGTTATATCTCTTATACAAAGAAAAGAAGAGAAGATAAACAATGTCTCTCTACTACATTCAGAACACTGTAGCTATAGTAAATAATGTAGCCTATAGTAAATAGCATGGAGAGTACCGGCTACATTTAATGCTATCAATAGTTATCAAGGAATTTGAGAACTTCAAAATAAATGACAAAGACTTTTACTTTTTGGAAGTTATTATTCTAATTGTATTTCTTCATTCATTTTTGTTGTCAATGTTGCAAACAAGAATATGAATAAATATATTTTTAGTTTTGTAATGTGATATACAGCTTCACTTTTATAGATTAATATGATTTTTGACTCAACATATTAAATCGTTTGACCATTAATCATTATAAAGTTTTTTTGAAGGTTGAGATAGGTAATTATATGATTTTGTGATTTATTCATTGATTACACAAGAATGACATCATGTGGTTTTAAAAAGTAACTCGCAAATTACAATGCCTCCAATATATGACAATCACCTTTTTAATCTTTTAATTTTATTTGTATGCATTTGTTTATATATGTATACATTTACATGCACATTTAACTTGAAATTTATGATCTATTTGAAATGTGTAATACATTACAAGTATATATATAAAAATTAGATTTTCAAATGTAAGCATGTCACAAAAGTATCTTTTACCTAATAGAAAACCATACTAATCTATTGAAGGAGAACACACATTCATTGTCATATATTTTGATGATTATTTTCCACAGCAGCAAATAAATGCTTTAAAAAGATATACGAATAATCACAAAATTTTGCAGTGTTCATGGAGACAGTCTGATTAATTAGTCTGAGAGAGTCTATATATATATATATATATATATACCATGGTGTTATCTTTCCATTATGAGAGATTCCTTGAATTTGGTCCAATGGCATATGCCACTTGGATCATCCATCTAGGATTATTTTCTGATGACATGGCACTGCGGTGATGAGGTGGCAATTCCAAGCACCATAAGTAAATATTCGTATGCCAACCACATTATTATCGATGAACATTTTGATGGAAAATATTCAACGGGTGTTCTTCTAAATTAAAAATTGAAAATCTGACAAAAATTACAATCATGCTTCTTTTTTTTTCCTTCTTTTTTTGACGTTTTAAGTCAATTAACTTGACAATATCAGTTTTTGCACAAAGTCATGTTTAAAGTCCAATGAGAATTCTCACTTCAAGGAGTTGATTAATGAAAAATAATCAAAAAAAAGTGAAATTATGCTTTTGTGCATTGTGATATTGTCATATCAAACCTATTATGAAAAAGAATCATTACAAAATGGTGGTTTTTTTTTTTATTATTTTTATTTTTTACTTTTTTTAATTTTTGAAATATATACTGTTACATTTTTATTTTTTCGAATTTAACAAATCCAAGCTTATAAAAAGTGACCTGGACAACCAACTGCAGGCTATGCGTAACAATGATTAGAAATCATTTGTTACACTGTCTAGAATTAAAAGAAAGAGGATAGTTGTGAAACATTCATTAATTTTCCAATTATTTTCCCTTTGAAATCAACTAATATTTTGCCCAATACCTTGAACAAATTATAGAAACATATTCTTATGAGGAATTGGCATCACTTCATGTAGAATTTCATTTCCAACCATGGAAAAAATGCAGCCTTTCTTTTTCAAGAAGAAACATAATTAGATCGATGCCTAACATACAAGGAATACTACAAAAATCCTTCGAAAACCACACTGACAAACTTGGACAAAATCTCATTGCAAATCGGTAAAACACGTCAGTCACGAAACCCACAAACTAAAATTAGTAAGAAAATATCAGCAATATGCGTTGGTGGAGGAAGAATAATCATACTTATTCCCACTAAAACATGCAATCTTCATTAGGGTTTCAACATCAGTACTGACACATTACGAACGTGAGCTTCGGATCCATTCCCAGAATTGAGGTGGACAACCGTTTCTACGTCTGTAACAATCGAGCTACAAGGATTCACCATTTGTAGAAGCTGCGATGGTCCGAGCCAAGCCATGATTAATTCAACATTCGCTGCAACAGGCATTACACTTGCGAATCGAAGATAATGTGACATTCATGTGTAAGTTTTCGGTATAAGCTTTCCATGAAGGAGTCGATTCAGATAATAAGAGAACAGCAGAGCACTACGGTTTGGACAGGTGGGTCTCACAGAAGAGCACGAATGTGAAGAAGGGAGATGTCGTCGAATTCTTTTGCTTGCTCAAGAATGATGCTACATTGGAAGAAACCGCAATTCCGCATCGAAATCTAAGTGTAACGTTATCCTACGAAGAGATTAGACTTTGAAGGGAATAACCTTGCTGAGGATTTCGTCGCTCAGTGCTTGCACTTGTTGGTCCAAGCTGCGAAGAGTCTCCTGCTTCTGTTCTTCCAGGTTAGCGAGGGACTGGGCGAGCTCAGTCTCGATCCGGTTGCGGGACTCCTGAAGCTTCTCGTCCAACATGGCGGCTGTCTCCTTCTTCGTCTTGGCCAGAGCCTCGGTGGTCTCAATGCGGGCGGCCTTGAGGATGGCCTCGGCCTCGTTCTGCAGATTCTTAATTTCGCCAGAGTTGTCGCGGACGCCCATGAGCTTGGACCGGATGGCCTCATCACGAGAATCCATGACCTTCGCGACGGGCTTGAACCAGATGTTGTCGAGAGCAACCATGAGAAGCAAGAACTGCACGGCAATGATCGGCAGCGTCAAGTTGAAGTCGAAGATCTTACCCTTGGGCTCCTTCTCCATCTCCTCGGCCAAAGCAGGCAACACCATGAGCGCGTTGAACGCAATAAATGTAGCTTGTTTCATCAATGCGTTCTGCGAGGCGCCGTCCTTCACGCTGCGAATCGCCTGCTTCACGCTCCCCTCGAGCTCCGACAGCGACGCCATACCAGCGCGTACCTCCAGGGCCTTCCTGGCTACTCGCTCTGCCGCGGCTCTGTTTCCGAAAGCACCCACGCTCACCAGCTGCTGGCTCCTCAAACCAGTGGACCTGAGTTTGGCAGGGACCACTGCCATCGCCGCGGCCGAGCTCGCCATGGCCGCCATAGCTGCCATCACTTCACAACCGATTGAGTACGCTGAGTCACTGAGGTGAGAATAGTTGCAGCGTAGAAAGCAGACACGAAAATGGTTGCAGTTCGGAGATGAGAAACCAACGCAAGTCGGAGCTAGATGGAGATAAGAGGATTGCGTTGCTGCGGACCAATTGCGGGGGATAACGAACAACCCGCGAACTTTGCAAATTAGCCATTCCATGTGGGTGGCTGGGGAATGCCGCTGCTAACGCCAAATCAACTCCGCACGAGACCCCCTCAATCACCAAAGACTGGCCTCATCTTTCGCTTTTTGGTCCTCTTTTGACAATCATTCATCTTCGTTTGTTGAACACCGCTTAACATCGAATACTTTAATTGGTATGCCACTTCGAATCCGAATTATGAGTTACAAACTGAAAAATTAATCTCAAAATGAGATCAAGAGTTCCTGCACTTCCAATCCATCGAAGACCAACTGGCTTGTTGTCCTAGAGCCGAGGTCATTTTGCAGGTAACCAGATATTATACTGTAGAATATCCAATCTGTTGAGCGATCACTGTATCCATTTCCATCGTGGCCACAAAGACTTGATCTATTGCTCACGCAGATGTCAAGATACATTGCAGGGGCTGCAGAGCTCTGCTTGATCAAATTGTTATTCAGGGAAAAAGGCATCTCAAGTTTGATTACGTCGGCTTCAAATGAGTTCTGAAGCGGTGCAAATTTAATGGTAATTGGAAAACTAGGGTTGGCAAAAAAGTCTGTTGTCAAGAGTATATAGTTAGATGGGGTGGTAATGAGGTTATTACAGATTCTTTCCTAACTTTTCTAAAATAACAAATCAGTTTGCCAGTGTGGAAACTCATTGCCACTCTACCTCAGGGATGCGCCTCATGATACAATACTCTATGTATGGATAACACAGGCCATTCTATCGGTGAAATAGTAATCCCATTCCGAAAAGTTACTAGTTATACAAACAACCCACAGATATTGGTTTCAGATGCACTAGAAGTCACTCCACTATTTTCTTCACTAACAATTTTATCTACTGGGTAGAAGCGGACTTGAAGTTAAATTGGATAATTAAGGTATAGATTATATTCGGGGAACTGATGTGGTTCAGCATACCTAGGGACATACGCAATGAGGTGTCAATCAAAGAATATGCCCTGACAATGGTTGATGAAGAACAGAAAATCGAGACGAGCAGCTGATTCAGCACCAGATTAATAGAGGACAAAAATAGAGCAAATCTTTACTGCTATACTGTCACACATATGCACGAGTGGAAAGGAGCTTGTGGCGGAATTCAAATGTGTGGTATAATTCAAGAATGACGGATACTCATACATTTCAACCTAATCATGTCAATTGCACAAATTCTTAGCATTTCCCATTTGAGTGAATGAGCTTTTCCCATAACCTCATTGTCAGAAATTTCCTAATTGTACTGCCAGTGTACACTACATGATCTCTTCGGGGTACCATCCAAGTTCCCTACACATCTGTCGTCACACCACGACCTTCACTGAAAATTATTTGAAAACCAATTACATCTAACCTGTAGACTCAATGCACTTCAATCTAGGAGGAGACAGATGAAAACCGTGGTGCTAAATATACAGTCATACATTTTACTTTGATGGGCTCACTAGGGTATTCACCACAGTGGAGGCAACAAGTACACCTACTACTCCCGCGCCAGCAACTGCACCAGCTTGAAGTGCAGGTGAGAGCCCGCCTTCAGTACTTGGGAAGCTTGGAATGTTCGGCAAGGCTGCTCCGGGGAATTCCACAGCAGCATTCGAGATAGCTCCACTTACTGCAGCCACTCCACTCTCTCCTTCCTTGACCAGCTCCTTCACTTCAGCCACCACCTGAAATTCATATTGCAATACATGTTCAGATAAATCACGGCAAATCAACCGAAATACCCAAACCCAAATGTTCAAAGTCAATGCTCAGATTGAAGAGCACGGAGCAGCTAGTAGGTGCTATTATTGCCGCAACATTGACTGACATTTTTCCATTGCAATCATAAGAAATTCAGATAACAATGCAGCGCCTTAACATGTCACGTAGACGTTCCTTGTGCCTGAGGCACAGCATTCCAAGGGGCACTTCAGACTGATGTTATTGATCATGAAAGACTTCTATAGCAGTGTCACAAAATGTTTGTGTGCGAACGAGAAGGAGACACACCATCTTAGAGACACGAAACATCTAAGATCAAAGTTGACTCCGCTCTGAAGCTTCATTCCCATTCGGGATGTTGCTAAAAGCTGTCTAGTTGAAATAAAAAGCACAATTCTTCAGGTAATAAACACCCCTCAATGCAAGCTGATGCGGTACCATACACAGTAAAAATCAACACAACCAAAAGCTGAAACTCCCACATCATCTCGCTAAAATCAAGTCATACACAATCAGGCAGCGTTGGCAAGCTACCCGAAGCAAGAGAAAGCATCTCAACACACAGAAACGAGACGATGGAAATCCACTAGACCATCCAGAATCCCTCCCAACAAGACCCAAGCCAAACACAACACACCTCCTCAGCAGCCTTTTTGGCCTTCTTCAATCCGAAGATAGGAATGTCCCTAGCCTGTGCCTTCTGCGACGACGAGAACACCATCACTGAAAGAGCAGTGAGCGACACAGCAGCCTGGCGCCTGGACACACCATGCCTCTCAGACGGGTTCGCCGCGGAGACAACGACGGTGGTGGGGGCGTCACGGCGGGCGGGGGCGGACCGAGGAGAGGGCAGCAACGAGGAGGACGAGGCCAGAGAGTGCGAGGAGGAGAGCGTGGCCATGGAACCCGCCATAGCTGCAGCAGCAGGGAACAATGGGGAGTGCGATCCGCGACTTCCCTCCCTTCCCCTTCTGACTATCCACAACACGCTTCGCCTCCTTTTGGTCTTGTGCTTCCTGGCGCCCCAAGCTTGTGGCCTCCAGGCCTTGCACGTCGGACGTGTGCGGCCCTATGACCGCTATCTTACCCTCTGACTTGGCGGCCCTGCATGCGACCGTCGCCTCGCCCCCTATCACCGATGGCTTCGTTGGAGCCTGGTTCTACATTCGTGGCCTTAGGCGTGTGAGTCAGTGAGTCTGTTTGTTTGTGTGGGTTTCTAAACAAAGTCGTGATTTCGCAGGGTAGCCGGAATCTGATTGTGGAGATCTCATTGGATGGCGTTCCCCGAGGGTTGAGGGTCATCCGTATTACTCTGTGCCATGTCACAATTTCTTCCTCCCTCTTGAGCCAACTGGAATGATGAGAGCCTTAGAAATTCTTGTGCAGTGGTTTTGACATAGACCATAATGTCCATGGTGGAGTTTTATAATTTATGGATATATATATATATATACACACATACAAACATAGAGGAATTGTTAAAGTGATCCAAGTATTTATTAAATCGACCCACCCATCTTAACCATCATCAAAAAATTCTCATTGGTCAAAAACCAATAAAAAAAATGGTTGGATTCTCAACCAATAATGATGGGTGGGTTGATTTAGTAAATGCTTGGATCATTTTAACAATTTCCTATATATATATATATATATATGTGTGTGTGTGTGTGTGTGTGTATGATAAAGAGGACTAGATTTCATCTAACAAACTAACTTTGTAGAGATTTTCTAAAAAAGTTGTGTATTGATCAAATATTTATTTTTATTTTTTCTTTATCAATGACATTATTAGTTGGAGACCATGCAAATGTTTGTAAGGGAGGATAGCGATGTTTAGACTTAATATTTAATTTATGGAAATATCTACAAAGTAAAGGTATTTGAAATAAGAGATTATTTATTGTTCATTGAAGATTCACTTTTATTCAATAAATAAAAATAATAATCTTGTATGTGTATATATATATATATATATATATATAAGAGAATGTTAAAGTGACCCAAAATTTTACTAAAGCAATCCACCTATTTAAACCATTACTGCATATATTCATTCTCGGATCTCATTTTCTAAATTTTTAGCTCCATTTTCATTGTCCATCCCATGTCTTGATCTCCTCAACCTTATTACTTGTCCATGTTCTAGTCTTTTGTTCCAACCCTCTTCCTAAGTCTCAAGTAAACATTTGAAGATCGTTTCTAAGCAGCACACTTCCTACAAAGGAGGTTAGGTGAAAGTTTCAAAACAAAATAGTTTTTGAAACATCGGTTAGTGTGTAGATTATTATGTTGTTGAATAAATCTTATTAACATAATCACTTAGCTTACTTAGCTTATATCACACTCATCAAGAGTTTACATGTCACAAATGAATTTACAATAAATGAAGATTGTTTATAGCCAAGAATAAAAATATACATTTACCATGCTAGTGTCATAGACATATACATTTATCTCAATAGTTACTTATATAATTATGAAGAAATATGTAAATATAGATTAATTTCATAAAGTCTTCTAGATTAGCTTCCTAGAAGCTTCATAAATACAATTTTGACTTTAGATGTATTTATGGAATAGAAACTTCACCAACAAGTTAATCATGTGTTGGTAGCTTGTGGAACAAGTTAACTCCGTGTAATAGCTTGTGGAACAAGTTAACTTTGTATAATAGCTTGTAGAACAAGTTAACTATGTGGTGCATACATAGATAACTTGCCTTGCAAATTAAGACATGTCGCTAACAAAGTCAACACGTTTTGGAGGTCCTATAGGACATCACTACGTAGATCCTAGTTAAAAGTATATATAGAGGCAAGAGTGAAGCCTTCTTCACTCTTGTGAACGCCTTTCTAGTCCTTAGTCTTGTTCCAAGACTTTCTAGTCTTCTTATCTTTGGCAATAGCCATTCTAGTTCAATATTATATCATCTTTGAGTGACTTTCTAGCTCCTTTCAATGATACATGAGTGTATTGAGGATTTTTCTTTGTTGAAATTCATGTCCTTGACAGCTTGTCTAGGACCTTTAAAAACTCTTGGAATAATTGCAACAATTGCTCTTTGGCAAGCATGCTTGAAGAATGTAAGTTAGAGTTGAATTAACTTCTAAAAAAAAATTCTTGCCTAGTTTAAGTAGAATGCCATGGTTGAATATTTGGATAGCTACCACTAAAGAATCACTAATAAACTACATCAACCTAGAGAATGATTTGAAAAATGAGAATATTCAAATATATACTAGTCTAATTGTAAAATCATACATCAGACACAAAATCTGAGTACAACAGACCAAATGTGGAACCATTTCAAAGACATCAAAAGCTAATGAATAGAGCTATCATCCATTTAAATCTCTCTTGTAGATTTAAAATCAAAATCCATGCTGCAAACACAACTAGTCAAGTTTCAATATAGCTTAAGCATATATCCAATTTCAAAATGACAATGAACTACAAGTCTTCTGTTTTACCAGTGATCTTAAATTCCTACCACAAATCACACATGATTGCTCTTCAACTAAACTTCAAGAAAAAAAACACATCCACACATGCATACATATAAATGTATCATTCTTCTTATTAGACCAACCAATGAATCTCACAACACAAAAAATCAAACAAATCAAGGACCAAAAAAATCTCCCTCCTTTGAAATTTTACACTCTCAATCTTTTCAATTGTAAAATTAAGTAGATAGGCATAAGCTATAGCTCCAATGAAATCTCCAAGACCTAATCTGAGATTGAAAGCATCTACGGATGTATGAGTTGATTCAAAAGTCTCATCCTAAAAAACTACTTGGTCTTGCTTAGCTAAGTTGGATGGTATAGCTATCTTTTTAATGTCATTATTTACTTATATTTTTCTATGTTATTGAGAAATTAGTCAACTTATATTTAACAAATTTGAGCTTAGTGAATAGAGACATAAAAATTAAAGAGAAATAGGAATGAAAGAAGAGGAAGATGAGAGGGGGAGGGGGAAAAGGCGGAGAGGAGAGAGGAGAGATAATAAACTATAGAAGCAATGGCATAAGTCAAAACCAATTTGAAGGTGATAGTGGTGAAGATTGCACAACATATTTGTGCCTCAAAGAGCTACATTTTGAGAAATCAAATTTCAACCAAAATGTCTCAATTCTTCAAGGTTGTTTTTCAATATGTCACAGCACTCGATTTGTAATTTTGTGAGATTACAATATTAGAACTATTTTTCAATGAGCTTAAGAGTTCTTTTTTTTTTTTCTTTTTTTTTTTTCTTTTTTTTTTTTTGTCAAGTAAGAAAGTCTTAGTATAATTCACGTAGACATCTAAAGCCAAAGTACAATGTAGTTGAAGCAGTGTACAAAATTTCCTTCAAAAATCTAAAATCTTTTGATCCCACTTCCATATTCTACTAAGTGAATCTTTCTTGAGCTGGCTCTCACAAAACCTTTTGCACTAGCAGCTTGATGCTGAAAAATGATCTACAAAAGCTTACTCAGGACTAGCAAAGGGGTCTAAAACAGAAGATCAAAATATGGATAGGGACGAGGTTGGGGAGATCAGAATGGGGAACAAGCAATGAGAATGGAGCTAAGAACTTGGAAAACAAGAGTTGGGATCAAAGAGGTGCAATGATGGTCTAGATACACAGGTTACTTTAGTAAAATTTTGGGTAACTTTAATATTTTCCTATTTATTTTTATTTTTTCAACTAAATTCTTTGTTAAATCATTTTATTTCTATTCTAATTTAAATATTGTATAATATATGTTGTATTTTACATATTATATTTTTAAAAAAATTAATAACTTTATTCTCCATACAAACATGTATTTTTAAATATTGTAACTATTTGGAATTTTATAAAGTTTTAAATGTTGATAAGTTACTTTTTTTAGTTTCATGAAATCTGTCTTGTCTCTTTGATTTTTACCTTTGGGATATAAAAAAAAGTTGGTTTTATTGTTTATTTATATGTATCTTAATGAACATTTAAATAATAATACCATCTAATAATATTTATATATGATCTGAGCTGAAAAATTTGAATCCAAAGTTAACCTAAATTTAAATATGAAATTTATTTGTAAAACTATATTTTAAATTCTTTATTGCTAAATACAGTTTATTCTACAGCAGCTATTAGGATATTTATAAAAACCATTTTATTTTTTTATTTAAATTTTATTTTTAATAAATTTACCAATCGATTCATACTAAAATTCCATTACAACAAATAAAATAGAAATATTGTTTAAATTTGAAATCATTATCATATTCTCTTGAGTTTACTAACAATTATATTTATTGTAATCTTATAAACTAACTATGTAAATCCTTTGATCTTTATAGTCTTTTTTTCCTTTGCTTTTTAAAACATAAAACATTAATCATTTATTTCTTATTATATAGAATTGCAAGAAGTTTTATATATTTACAAAATATCATCTAATATTTTTTATAAATTAATTATTATTTTTCAAATAAAGAATTCAGATGTCATCTTATTTTATTTTTAAAAAAAATAACGCGCCTGTATTTTTCTATAAAATAGTTATATTTTAAAGTTTCTATTAAATTATAAATCTTTACAGAATAAAATGTTAAAAAATATTTTTATTTATTTATTTATTTTCACGTTAATACTAACAAGTTTTTGAATATATATATATATATATATACATATAATTCAAGGGAGTTGTTAAAGCCACACCTTAATTATGTTGAAGCCACGCCTCCTATTACCATGTCATAATAAGTTCTGTCTATCTCCTATCTCAGTCACATGTTTTCATCCATGTTTCATGTCTCAAGTCAATGTTTCCAGCACCCTCCAACCATGTTCTATTTTTTCAAACCCCCCCCCCTCCCTCAATCCCTTCGATCTCTTATGTTGGGATTGGACAGGGATTAGAATATACATGTCAAGTTCTTTTAAAATTATCTTTGATTATTTGAAGCATATTATTATATGATTATCTATTATGTTTTTTAAATAAAAAATCTATGTTTA